ACAATACAAACTCATACCTAATTATTTACCCTGATTTTATGTATGCTCTGATATGGATATTCGTCAATATTTGAACAAATAGCTTGACAGAAATTACCTGATATTATTGCCATGGCTATTGTGATTCCTGACCGCCCCCCTATCGATGAATATTTAGGGGTATGATCATAAATATTTTATAGTAAATGATTGATCTGTGTTCATTTAATTAGTAACATACTTTTCATTATCTGTAATCATTCATTAATCAATTGTCAATATTGCATTGTTGTAATTTGATTAGTTGATGCTTAATGCTGATTTGGCTTTTGAGATGTAAGAAACCATCATTCGACTTGAAACAGTGAATATTTAACCTACGGATAAAATTAGTGCATTATTGTTGAAAATTAGTGAAAATGGCGATACCGTCTTTTTATAGCTAACGAGACCTATGAAATCACAACTTTCAAGGCTTGCCAGTACAATTCATTAGTCGAAAAACAGAACAGTTATAGAATCCTTGTTAATGGTGTAATTCATTCATCTAGTCGAGTAAACATACTATATGTACTCCAATAGATATCATTAGTGTTGGTTGATTACTTAATTGCATAGAACACTACTTTTCCAACATCAGGTTTTCAGTTTAAAAAAATGACTAAATACTATCTTGTAGTTGAATTCATGAGTCGATTAAAGCTAGACCACCATGTAAAACCTGGAAGCACCGGACGACCGCTCCATTCTAGTATGACTCTTCAGCAGTGCGATTCCACTCGCAGAACTCGAAACCAGAACCTATAGGTCTCGCGCGTGAACACTTAACTTCTAGACCATTGAACCGGTATCCAACGGTGTTAATGTCTAACTTCAACCGATCGACGAATATTTACAACTGAAGAACATTTGGAACTCAAAACAACTGTCAACCAACACCAAGGTCAGAATTTTCATCATAAATGTCAAGACAGTTCTACTGTATGGGGCAGAAACCTGGAGAACTACGAAAGCCATCATCCAGAAGATACAATTGTTTATTAACAGCTGTCTACGCAAAATACATTATCAGTAACAACCTACTGTGGGAGAGAACAAACCAGAATCCAGCGGAGGAAGAAGCGCTGGAAGTGGACAGGACAAACATTGAAGAAAGCACCCAACTGCTTCACAAGGCAAGCCCCCACTTGGAATCCTCGAAACCAAAGAACACTTTGCACCGAGAAATGCAGAGAGACATGAGAAAAATGGACAAAAACGGGATAGAATTGGAAAGGAAGCCGCAGGACAGAGTGGGTTGGAGAATGCTGGTCAGCGGCCTATGCTCCATTGAGATAACAAGCGGTCACTATCATATACACTTATGTAGGCATATCCTGTTTTCTTATTATTATTCCATTCCCGTTCATGTATTTTCATAGATCTTCTATGAATTTATCCTCAAATTAGTAAAATAACTGTTTACTTTGAAAACGATATCAATTCAATTCATGTATGAATAGTATATACCATACACTGTTGACCTAATTACTGGTATTATAGAAACTATACTTTAATAGATCAGTTAAATGTTGAAAGAATACTTTAAGTAAAACAAAACAAACATATTTCTTTTATTAAGTTTAACATGAAATCATTTAAAATAGTTTTGTTTATTTAAGTTTAAACAAACATTATATTATTGACCTATAAAATCTATTCAAATTATGCTTGACAGAATAAGTAAACATTTGTTTACTGTTGATATTTATGAAAAATGAATCAAATCAAGATCATACTATTACTACTTCCAATTTCAATTAGTAACAAATATTGTTTACACAGATTGAAATCATGAGTCAGTTGAAGCTAGACCACCATTGAAAACCTGGAAGCACTGGACGGCCGTTTCATCCTAGCATGGGATTCCTCAGCAGTGCGCATCCACGATCCCGCACCACGCGGGGCTCGAGCCCAGGACCTACTGGCTTCGCGCGCAAGCACTTAACCACTAGACTACTGCGCCGGCATCCAACGGTGTTAATGTCTAACTTCTAGTGAGAAGTCGTTACCAGTTACGATTTCAATCTGTGAAATTTCTAAAATCTCCACAAAACCCATTCTGATAAATATTGTTTAGTTTGAAAAAAAGAAGAAGAAACTCCTTCCCATACACCATGGAATATTTGTTTAGGTCATGTTTATATTGTTATTAATTTGAATATACAAATATTGGTAAAAAGGGTCACCAAACATATATGCGTCACACAATTCACTTGATTTGTGTGTGGAATGTGATACTATCCGAGTAATCAAACCGAAACAGGTGACTTTCTTAGGGAGCCATACCTCAAGCATTTGACGTAAAGGTTTGATCCACATGGCAGTGGAGCAACGTTAAGAGATGCAATCCCATGGTAGCTGGTCACCAACAATTCGTTCATACGCCATTTGTTCCTTCAGGATCCTGGAACACATGTGCACCATTGATATGGAATCAAGTTTTTCAGACTCCCTTAAGTAGATCATCCATATCCACCAACCCGGTTAGGGCTTGTCATCCTCCCAATTTCGTAAACAAAAGTAATGCCTCTAGAAGGCAGTGAGTAGGACTTCCATGAAAATGGTTGTATACGCGTGACCGTGTGAAAGCATTGGGAGAGGGACGTTTGGGGGCATGTTCAAACTGGACTAAAAAATATCGACCCTAGAAATTAATCTGAAACTGAGGACATGTTCATGGTATAAAACTAGATATATGACAAATAATTGTTTTCTATTGTGATATATTTTTGTAAGAATTGAAGAAGGAATTTTATCGAAAATGTGGAAGATTCTAAAAACTTTGAAAAAAATTTATCATGAAAGTACTCATCGATGCATTTTTTTTTCCTTTTGCCCAGACATTCTTTATACAGATATAACTAATTATAGTTAAGCTACAATTATAATTTAAATTTCATTGAATGTACTGAAAGAATGACAAATAACACTGTGAACGAAGATATCACTTTGCATTTATTCCACACACATACATACATGCACACTTAGTGTTCATTATCCAATTCCAAGTGAAATATGTACTGATTGACATAAGTGAATAAATAATGCAAAGTAATTTCATGTGTATCTCTTAAACATTCACTTTGTGATGTGTGCTACTGATATCGATATATATAAGTAGTATGTGTTACCAGCCGAAAGTGAAATACCTGGAGGCGAAAGGTTAAGATCAAATAAAAGAGAACAAAGAATGATTGGTGTGGAAATGAAGGAACAATCTAGTCTGAGACAAATGATCAACATTTTGCAAATGAATTATTTACTGTATAGTTCTCAGATTTCACTAAATGATTCTGTAATTTTGTGTTCAAATACATTTGATAGTGTCCACTTATGTTCTCGCTCACTACAAATTCATCAATCAAGGGAACAGGATATTTGCTTTTCGGTGACTCCTGCTGTAATTGGCACCAACAAGTACTATAGTTATACATTCTGTACAATCGATAACAATACTATAGCATAGTTTCTTGTTGATAGAGGTGCAACCAGTGTTAACAACTTGAATCTGTGAAATGTAGGTACTATTTTCCTGAAACATATCTCAAAACTATATGTTGGAGCTCTTAATAATCGAACAATATGTCAAATCAGACAACAGGTTTCATCAGCTAAGACTAGAATCTCATGTCATCTATCTATATTGTCTCCGAATCCTGTACACGAGATCCCAGCAGAGTCATTCATTTGAGAGTACAGAGATCCAGCAAGACTCACCCTTCGTTCATCTCAAAGGCAAAATACCAACTTTTCATGTCTCTGAAATTAAGTTTGAAAATAAAACAAGTAATGCTTTCTTCCAGCAGTTATTTGGGTACTGTCCGATTAAATGGTATAGTAAGAACTCAAGAATACTGTTACAACTTGTGACCGCCTATTAATGTGCAGTGAATTATCCATCGGATCAATGACACGTAAAACCGTATGAGCAGTCTAGAGTCTTGATTGGCCCTGCTTTCCGTCTAGCCCAGTTAGTTAAGTCCAGAACACAAGTCTCAGCCTCTGTGATATGAATTATTTATTTCAAACATACTCGACTAATATATCAACCAGATAGACCACAACGTACCATAAAATAGAAAATAACATTTGTACAATATTTGGCCAACAGGAAAGTGACACGTGAAATAAATACTGACCAATAGGAAAATGATACCATTTCAAATCCAAGGATAGCATTAGACTTAAGAGGATTATTTTTCTGAATATCCCAACAAATACCCCGTGAAATGTTTTTCACTAACGTCTTTTATACCTTACATCTATCTATACCAGCTTTCGCACAGCTGACTTAACCATATTAGGTCGCATTTACAACGCTGCTATTAGAGCAGTTTTGCTACATGCTTATCGAACCTAATCTACCCAAAATGGGTATGTATTACTCAATGTTTTCATGTCGAAAAGTTTTATTGGCTTTCATAGTGCACAGAACTTATCGACCTAAGCAATGGTCAACTTATGATATGGCGCCGTGCAGTGGAGGACAGTTAGTTATATTAGATTGGAGCTCATCGGCACATTAAGACAACTGTAGATAGAATTTTAGTGATCGAACATTTCAGCAAATCCAAAATTTATAAAACATTACTTTGATTAATGATGACCCTGATGTGATTAACTACTACTATTACACTCCTAACAAACAGTAAAATAAACCCTTCGAATAAACAAAATACATCTTGGTTGTGTTTTACTCGAATTGTGTATTTTAACACTTGTCATTCCCTGTTACTTATATTTTCTTGCTTATTTCTTTACAATATTGTTATTTTTATGTAACAAATAACGTTTTACACTATTGAGTAACATCAGTGAATAAGACCTTATATAGGGTCGAACCCTGAAATTGTCAGAATACAAGAGAAGGGAGACACATTTTAAAATATATATATATATATATATATATATATATATATATATATATATATATATATAAACAAAGAAATTTGAAGAAATGCCTCAATATGAAAGCGTAGGTAATACGATCATGTTTAAAGGTAGAGATAGAGAAACATATTAACTAGGCTTCTACTGTACAAATTCATGAAATGAAATCACTAAACACAACTACTTGGATGGAGTCTTATAACCCATATGAACTGATACAATACCATTTGAATAATTAATCCAATTAACACCATCAAATTTTGATTGTGTAATGATATGAGCAAATTCTTCTTGATTAGGAAATTGACGAATACTTTCAACTAGATAATTGTAAGAATTCCAATCACCTGCAATAAGTTGACCAATTACGGGTATTAATTGCATAGAATATGCATTATATATGCTGGAATTAAAACAAGTATTTTAGAAAGTAGTAGTAATTGAGAAATTATGATCTTTCAAAGCTTATTTTTAAAATATAACTAATTTTCATATTTAACAGAAGGGTATATAAATAAACAAAAGACGGCTTGACAACTGTCCACATAAACCATATGGAAGAGAATAACCTTAATCCTATTTATATTGGTATAATCAACAGGTATTTATTTATTTATACACATAAACATTGGTACAAGGAGGCACCAAATATATATGCGCCATATAAATCCTTTGATTTGTGAGAAGGTTAGAATACTGTCCAGGTGCCCAAACCGAAGCAGGTGGGTCACACACGGGGCCTTCGACCTAAAGGTCTAATCCACAAGGCAGTGGAGCAACGTCAGGACATGCAGTCACATGGTAACCGATGATCAACGATTGGTTCATACACCATTTGTTCCCTCAGGATCGTGGAGACCATATGTACCATTGGTTTGGAATCAGGGTTTTTCAACTCCCGTGAGTGGATCCTCCATATTCACCGAACTGGTTAAAGCGCCAGATAGTCACTTTACGTCCTCTCAATTTCGTAAACAACAGTAATGCGGCGAGGAGCGAGTGAGTAGGACTTCTGTGGCAGTGGTTGTATGCACGTAGCCACGTGAGAGCATTTCTAAAGGGAGAGCTTACTCTCCCCACTCTCCGCTGTACCAGCGCATTTGGGGCTACGACTTATATTATGCTGAACTAGGATAAAATATATTTTTACGTCACACACTCGGTTGCCGGATGAAGAATCGTCATATATCTATGTTTTTTTGGCAAAGCGATTTTGAATTAAGATACCTACTGAGATACACCAAGCGCATTATACAATCTGCAATATATAATGCCTTCTTTATAGACTATAGTAGGTACAGTGTTCTCGATGTCGTAATTATGATGTACATCAGTGCAACCGAACATAGCTTGAATAGGAACCATTACATTCAACCCAACAAAAGCTAGAGATATCATACATTTTTGAAAAAGTAACTAACAGGAAGGATTCAGAACTGAGTGAAATTTTCATTTGATCATCCTCCAGCTTTTGTAAATTGTATTATCAACTAAATAGTATTTGCAGCAAACTGTCCAGCCAGATATCGAGGTAATAGCAAACGTTAGGTACGTTGAAAAATATTTTAGGACTTACTAGTCGTACATCAAATAAAGGAGATTGTTCTATGAAATTTTATGAAGACCACACCATAATTTGAACTAAGAAAAATTCAGCCACTAACAAATTTTCATCCTATTTAACAACTGAAACCTGAATTCAAGCAAAACATAGCGAATTCATCAATAAGTACCGATGCAAACAGCAAGTTTATTACTAACCCTAACCTTCAGTAGTAAGCAAGGTCACTGTTCTTGAGTCCATATTAATAAGAACAATCCTGATAGAGAACCAAGGTACAACCGAAACTAATCACTAGTTAACCAGATGGCATATACGGTTGTTTATTGCAATAACAAGACATAAAGTGAACAATAAATTCACTCGTTTTCGGTGAATACTATGGTGGTAAAAGGCAGGATTTGTGAGACCCAAAGACCTGTTTAATCCTTTAGAGCAGAAGTTTTCAAATGACCATCGTCGTCTAATACATGACCTGACGCTTGGAAGAGTGAGTAGATTTTGAAACAGTGTAGAAAGGTGTTCAGTATGGTATGGCCCTTTAGGGTTGCTTCACTGACATTAAAATGTGATATAAGTTGCACAGAAATCATGAGGCTATTCTCCAAGGAAAAGTTGAGGGGCGATATGTTAACGAGAATATTAGTTGTGAACAAAGAATGCGTTCCGTATGAAAATAACTAACTTTCTGAATAAGTTATTTTCAACTTTGCTAAATTCCAAACAGTAAAATCGACCCCAAGGACGTAGTACTCGATAGGCTTCTGAAACAACCTAAAAAAATTCTGAGACGAATATAAATAATTCTACCTTTTCAATATTTGTGCAATTGCGTATTCCAAAAGCAATAGTATAAACGTCAAACGAATTATCATTAAACGGGAGGTTTTCAGCATTTCCTTCTATCCACTGAACTTGCAAAAGAATGATGATATAAATGTCAGAATAATGAGCATACTGGAAGAAAACCCCAATTCTTCCGCCCGTGATTTCCCTACTTCCATCATGGATGGACTAATATCACAAACTGTGACGTCGAGATCAGTGAGGGGTTTCACATTCGGAACTCCATTAATATGCTTAGCATACTTAAATAACCTAAAGGCAATATCACCTATAAAGATTGAGGCCATATATATATGCATAAGTAAATAAAACTAACCTGTTCCGCCTGCAACGTCTAAGTACTTTAGTTTATCTGTTGGCATAATTCGGCTTACAAAACAATCTTTCCATAAACGGTGAACACCAAAACTCATTATATCATTCATCAAATCATATTTCTTGGATACGTTCTCAAACACATGATTTACTAGTTAAGAATGAAAAAAATATGGTAAAAGTGATAGGTTTATTAAAACTCACCTTTCGATTGTTTATCCTTGATTGCTACTGTTTCGAACCCAAAGTGTGTGGTTGACAGAAAGCTCTTCTGTGCACTCAGCAATCGAAACTTACAAAAAGCATTTTGGGCGTAGCATGAAAGAATGCTCATCTTCTGAAACGTACTGCAACAAATAGTACAGAAAAGTTGTGCATAAATTAAGACAAATCTGACAAAGCTATTACGACACAGGATGATGTAGAACAGCTTAGTAGTTTAAGTTGCCATTCGACTTAGCAGTTAATGGGCTCAATTAAGAGGCCAATCCGCTAACTAGTATTACGAACCTTCTGAACTATCCAAAGTATTACTAATTAATCACCTGGGAATTCTCATTTTACGTTGAGCAGCACTTCATATGAAACACAATCACTGATAACTACCAAAGGGACTAAACTAATGATCCAGACCACCAACAAAATTACTTCAGTCACAAAAAACAAACGGTCAGTATGGTAAGTACTTACTTCAGCCTGTTACTCTTCTTGGGACATAAGGTGCCAATTAGGAATCATCGGCTGGGCTTTCCCTGATAGTTATCGCCAAGTTCTATTCATTCTCTTGATGTCTCCCTCAACGTCCGAGCCTAGGCATGTGAGCAGTGCGTTAGCGGCCGAGTAAGTCACTTGTCTGATTAAGTGCTTAAGATTTGATAGCCTGTATGCTGTACTGCAGAATATATCGTCTGCTGTTTCAGACTTGATTGCCAACATTAGGCAGCTAATGTTGAAGTCTGGTGGGCGTAAATCTCCGCATCAATTCGATATCGGACTACCACGTTTGCAGGTCTCTCTGTCATCTAAAGAGGAACTGCATACGTTGGACGCACGTCTCTAGAAAGGAGACATAAGCGTCAAATTCGCAGGTCAACAAAATTCATTGGATTATGTTTGTTTTGCAGATGAACATACTGACGCGGTTAATGGATGACAATCCTAAAACGTCTATGCGCTATATTTTGTCATACCTCAGGACACCTGGAGTTGCCAGTCATCTTAATCTACATGGAGCCTAATTTAAAAGTTTCTTTGCATATGTACCATTTGAAACGTCGATTGCAGCAGACGATTTTGCGTGTACCCAATCTCCCAATTTTAGGGAAAATCCGACTCATTTTTGGCGAATTTTTGGTAAAATGTCACCTAAACCCCAAAACTTCCGCAAACTTGGGAGATTCGGTATATAGGCAAAAAGTAGACGATTCAGGGTCGTTTGAACACAGAATAATAAAAAGGGGGAAATCCGCATTACGTTTCTTTGACAGATGAAAAGAAAACATTCTGAAGCGTTCTTTCATTATTTCCTCTCTCTTTTTCGACGTAATATTTCTCCTTTGTTGATTGTATATCCTAACGATATATGGTATATCACGAAAATTCAGGAAAACAAAACAAAAAAATTCCCTTGGAACACTTGGTAATTCATAATGCACATATTTTAGGAAAATAAAACAGAATCCCTAGGGAAACTCAAGGAACTCATATAATTACCGTCAGTGTAACGGCTAGTCCATTATTTAGCGCTTACTTTTCAATGCCTAATGTTTAACTGTCATTGTATTAAGCTTGTATAGACCAGATTATTTCTTCATTCTCACGCCTTATTGTTACAGTGGAATCTCAGATATTTGTCGTATTCCAATGGAGGTGGCCTATCCATTTTACTGCTTCAGTCCTAGTGAGTTCAACGGTTATTTTTAGGTTGATACGTCACCTCTCAACTACCCAAATCCTCGAACTCTTCGACTACCTCCAACAGATCGCAAGCAGCAGTGCAAGCGCAAGCTCCTGGAAGCCTTGAAGAAATTTTTTGGAATTCTAAGGACCAGTGTACATGTGATACTGACGTACACTGACTGTCAGCCTACTACGTTTGTGTATTTATGGCATCAAAAGCGTATTTGATCAACTTTAATTTAAACTACTTCGGTTGATGTCAAGAAGTTTCTTTAATTCCGTTTTGTGAAACTTTTTTGGTTGGTCCACATACTAGTTATTGTCTTGTGCACTTTCGTCGAGTTTTTCCATTTTAAATCTGTTTACAATTGTCATCTGTGCTTATAAATGTGGACAACCAAATCGTTTTTCCTTGTGTAGGAAAGAATGCGTTGTGATAAATGTAAGCAGTACCACAACTTATAACCCGACTAAATCCCACTACATACGAAAGATACTCGAAGCTTAACTTCCATTGACTTCTTAAGTTTTGCTGTCCGGGTAAGACATTGCAGATCCAAGAGGCGGAGGGCTTTCTGGAGTTTGGCAGTAAGAATTTGATGGTGATTGCAGTGGTAGCATGGGCACTGTTATTGAACAATATTTCAGTGTATTGAGACTATCAAAGGACGAGCCAAACATCTTCCTGCTAAATATGTAAAAGACCTTTAAGACTAACGAGAAGTGGAATATCACTGGATATTAGACGTAGTACCTAAAGTCCCGGGTAAAACTAACCGTTTCAACTAATTTCTATTGGGCTGTTCCGTGTGACATGGAGTGCATGAAGTGCGGAAACAAAGAAGATAAAAATAATCACAAACAGCACCCATTTCGCTAATAAATCCTTGGCAGATATCCATCCTGAGTCACATAACATTCCACCATAGACCAAAAGCAAGACTGGATTCTAACTTTGCGTAACTGAAAAAGTTTGATCTCATAAAAACATTGTTCGAGCGATTTACAAGAATCTATCGACTGTGACCCAAAATTTAGATACACGTATGATTTTCAAAAATTTGAAGCATTTGTTCGCAGTATTTTTCCAGGTGAATCTACAAATGTTCAGATTAAAAACTAGCTAGAATAGATAAGATTGCTGAAGAAAATGTTGATCCCCGATCACACATACTTTTTTAAATAACCCTTGAGTCGGAGGAACTGAAGAATATTGTGTTAATTAGTTCTCGAGGTCAAAATGATACTGACAAAGGAATGACATGTCCGTAGAAGATAGAATAAGAGAGAAGGCGGAACTAACTGAACTAGAAACTCAACTAAATTGGTAACGAAAACCTCTGCTCAGTGAGTTTGGAAGGACATCAAACTAGCTGGTGAATTTGCTTGAAGTCTTTAACCAGTAAGAACGGGTGAAGACAGTGTATGATTAAAGTCTTACGGGATAAGTGATTTCATATTTCAAATGTGTCCTAAGATAACTGGCTCTAGATGATTTAACAGGCGTGCCATCAGCGGCCGTTTCCCAAAATAATCTCATACAAGCTGACCGTGAAGTGCACTGTAATTTATAAAGTAGCGTTGACCGTCAAGCTCGTAGCTGGGGTTATAGATATTTGCATTAGTGTGAGCCTGGAAAGTACCAGATGTACGTAATTGGAAGCAGTTGTGATCGTTTTTGTTCATAGAAACCGTTTTCACGTAGTAGTTAATTTGCTAGAATCAAACGACCGGGATCTAAGAAATAAACACTCACATGATTTGGGAAAGGTCGGATCACTTATTCGTAGCATGTTGCCAGATAGCTCTACAAGATTTCAAGTCGAAAAATTGGTCAGAATAGCTAAGAGGAACAACAGAAGTTTTGATCTACGACCATGTAGAGTCCATAAAGTAATCCTAGGGACGAAGAAACAACGAGATATTTTGTTAACTATCTCTCGTAGTCACAACAATACCGACATTCGACTGAGACCCGATATAACTGTAGGAGAGAATTAAAGGGGAAGTCACATTAGTTGATTTAGAAACTCATTGACAGAATAGTGAAGAAAATCTACGTCCAGTAAGTTTCTGAGTAGTCACGTCTTGGAAGCGAATGTTATCAAGGCCTGTATCTTCAGGAGTTTTATATGCAAATACTCATAGCCTTGGAAATAAATTCTATGTACTTGGAGCATTAGTGGATGAATTAGAGCCAGTTGTGGTATCTGTGACCAAAACGTGGTTAGTCTATGGCATTGATATCACTATGGGATTATCCGGACGCAACTACCTAAGAAGTGATAGGAATAGACCCAGCAAAGTTGGTGGTGTCTTCATATATTTATAACTAACTGCTTTTTTTATTGTGAATCCTGACACTACTTGGACAGGAATAGACACTTTCGGATCTGAAAATTGTTCTGATAGTAGGCTTCAGATGACAGCAATGGAGTGTGCTTTAGTGCGATACCCTACAGTTTTTGGTTCAAACCAAGGATTTTCTTTGTTAGATTTAGTGAAAATTCATGGGACCGAGGAAGTCGTCAATCTAAATATCCTCCCACCATGTTAAGAGTTTGTGACACAATATACAATCAGGTTAAACCTTCCCAAACGTTAATCGTGCACTGCAACAACAGACTGGTCAGTAGATACTGGCTCATTTGAAGAAAAGGCATGGTCTATATTTAAAGGTAAGCCTGGTTAAGTTACGTCCTCATTTATACCATGATTAGCTCTATGTGGACCAGATAACTGCCCACTATGGATAATTAAAAAAAGATCAAGGGTTTCTTAAACGTGAGAAAACGGGATTAAGGTATGTTTATTTCCACATGATCAGGACAATACACATGCAAGTATTATTAGACTGGAAGCGCTTGTAAAGCGTTGATAAGCAAGACTAGACTTCCACATGAAAACTTTGATTGAAGATTGTGAAAACAGTTCAAAAACGTTGTCCTCGTATGCAGAGGTAAACCGAGAGAACTGACGAAATCTCACCTTTTCTGGTACGTTGCTACTTTAAAGAAATGATGTCGTGAAGGCTGGAGCTTTGTCAGAATATTTACTTTGTGTTTTCTTCCAATCATAGTGGGACACCAACAATTATTATATGGAGTTGTGTTACTTACTATGAAGATCTAGGAGTTATAGTAAGCAGCGGCATCAAAACCGTGAGTAACTGCAAGGTGCCTCATTCAAAGGCTTCAGGACGTCATAAGCTATTCGTAAGTTTTTTTAGTATTGAGACGAAATAATATTTAGGGTGTTGTATTTGACTTTCATTAAACCCCATCTATAAGATGGGATTCAAGCATCTTATCCTTGTTTCATGTATGAAGCTGATATGCAAGAACGAGTCCAAGGATGATTGATTGCGACACCCCAACTTATTTTCGTAGATAACGGGGTGATATAATATTATTATTGTCATTGTTACTATTAATGGCTTTATTCGATATTATATTTTGATAGAATATACAATTCGTACGCCGAATGATCATTTCGGTACTAATATGTCTTATTTTTCCTTCCATCTAGAACTGATAACCCGAGAGGATATTTGAAGAAAGTTCAAAAACCGAGATCAAATCATCCGCGTCTGGATTTCCGTTTTTCTTGCACATAGCAGTGAGTTGCTTGAATTCTCTACCACAACGTCACGTCAGCACTTTCTCTTGATACATCCAAAACGAGATTAGACCTATACGGTATTACATTCTGTTAATAGACCTCATATAACTTTTACTGAAGACTTAAACCGTCTGCGTTACCAGTATTACATTAACTTCCAAACTCGATTATCAGTTTATCTTTATCTAGGGTTGTTTTATTTGTAGCCGTTGTCGTCACTCTCAATATCAAGTGTGATTGCACTCTAAGCCCTTATCGAGACGTCAGTTCACGTTTTCCCTTGTTATTTTGTCTCCCAACTTTTCACATACTGCTCCAAACTATCCTAAGGCATACAAGGTATCTTCAGGCCAAATGAAAACGTTTCAGGGGCTCAACGTTACAACAGCATGAAATGGTCCAATAGATCGCACACTGCCTTACATTTCGAGTATACGTGCATTTGTATGCACTTAATCATTTACAAAGTAGAACAACACATATAAGCGAACAATTGTTTTCAATTAGATCATCATCAGGCTTTACTCTAATATACATGAATATTTATACGAAACTTTCAAACCAATCAAGGCAATATGAGTCAATAATCACAATGAAATAGAATAAGTCACTACACATAGGTAAAAGTACAAGTTCATAGTTGGAAGACAAGTGAACTGATAATAGTGAGAATAATAAAGTACAATAACAAAACTCTTATCAATAGTTAATCGTTGGAAATAGAAGGTCAAATAAACATGGGTAAATAGACTAGGAATAGAGTAAAGCCTGAAGACGATCTAATTGAAAACAATTGTTCGCTTATATGTGTTGTTCTAATTTTCACAGTGGGAATCTTTA